GTGTTTGCAAGTTGTTCAACTCCGTAGTTGTGCGCTTGCAAGTTACTTAATACCAACGGCAGTTTCCCAGTCTGATATTGAATTTGTTAGGAGCTGAAGCAGCACTTCAGAAATGGTATGAATCTAAGAGTGTATGGTGTTGTTTGCTAGAGTTAAGAAGTCAGGAGTTAAATGCCGGACAGCTGCTAAGAAGCCAGCTCTGACGGATGCGCAGAAGGAAGCTCGCCTTGCATGGGCTTACCAGCACAGGGACTGAACTGTGGAGCAGTGGAATAGCACGGTCTTCACCGATGAGACGTCGCACCGCTCCTCAGACTGCCGCGCCAAGAACGTGTGGCGAGAAGATGGCACCAGGTAAGGTCGGCGATCTCAGAGTGTTGAACGCAGCTCGTATTATCGATTTGTTTCGCATGAAAAAAGTCCTCTCTGGTTAGTACTGCGTCGAAGCAGATTTTTGTTTTTTTTAAAAAGGAAAGAAATTGAAATTACTGACTCCTCCTTTAATTCGACAGTGTTCTTGCAATCTGTGCGATAATTGAATTTAGACCATTTCTATGCTTTGAGTACACAGTAGTAAATCTAAAAGGACTCTGACTGTCCACAGAAAGACACGTTTTTGTGCAAACATCTCAACCGGATGCTGATTGAAACTTAGCAAAGTTAGGAATTTGCGTCTTCATAATGGACCAAGAAACAAATGTCCAGAAAGAGGAAACTTACTCGTCACTTGCTGGATTCAAATCTGCATCCAGTTAAGATTAGCACAGAAACGCGTCTTTCCGTGAACAATAAAAGTCCCTTCAGATTTAGTACGAACATCTTTACCTGATGCAAAAAAGCATTCCGGTGAAGCTATAATGCAGAAGAATTTAGGGGACAGGAAAGTAGAAATCACCATGTTAAGACATAATGATTTCCGCCTTCTTTTTTCCCGCATTCTTCTTTCATTGAGCTTTATCAGAGTGCTTCATTCCTAATTTTACCAGTGACAACTTTGTATACTTGAAATGGACAAGATTCCATTCTTCCGTGATAGGGTCTGGTAAAGATGTGCACAAAAAAGCGTCTTTCAGGGACAAAAAATGTGGTTAGTTCAAATGTCTAGCTTTATATTTTAGCCCTCATGAAACATTATGTTTAAGGTATGAGCCAGAAAATGTGGTGGAGACGCGTGCCAGTGGAAGGGTCAGCTTAATGCAGTGGTTCGCCTTTTCTGGCGACCTTGGATCCATTGCTGTCCAAAACTGTCCCGGCCGGATGGATGCCATTTTCTACAGGTAGGTTCACACTAAATCTGAAGAGGCTTTCATTGTCCATAGAAGGACGCGTTTTTGCGCGCATCTCAGCCGGATGCTAAGTGAGGAATTTGCATTATAATTATTGACAAAAAAAAACAATTGTCCATAAAAGGATGCTAGTTCGTCACTGGTTGGATCCAAATCTCGATCCGCGGTTGAGATGTGCACAAAACTGCGTCTTTCAATGGGCAATAAAAGTCTTTTCAGCTTAAGTGTGTT